CCCCTGCATCAAAACCTGGAATTCCCTCCCCTGCATCAAAACCTGGAATTCCCTCCCCTGCATCAAAACCTGGAATTCCCTCCCCTGGATCAAAACCTGGAATTCCCTCCCAGGCTCCCTGACCACAGATCTGGGTGGGAATCCTTGGCTTTTCCAGCTTTGGGATCGCTTTGGGATCGATGTCCTGTGGGGTTTAGGGATGCCGTGGGAATTCTGAGCGCCTTGGGAATGAGGAATTCCCCGCCATGCCAGAGGTTTGGGAAGCGGTGATTTTGCAGGGAAGAGCCTCTGGATGTGTTTTAGGAATTTCAGTGGGGCTGTGGCTCAGGAATCCGGCTGTTCCCAATGTTTTTCCAGGGAAGAAGCTCTGGTTGTGTTTTGGGAATTTTGGAGGGGTTGTGTCTCAAGGATCCAGCTCTTCCCGATGTTTCTCTGGGATGTATTTTGGGAATTTTGGAGGGGCTGTGTCTCAGGAATCCGGCTATTCCTGATGTTTCTCTGGGATGTATTTTGGGAATTTTGGAGGGGCTGTGACTCAGGAATCCGGCTGTTCCCCATGTTTCTCTGGGATGTATTTTGGGAATTTTGGAGGGGTTGTGTCTCAAGGATCCAGCTCTTCCCCATGTTTCTCCGGGATGTATTTTGGGAATTTTGGAGGTGCTGTGTCTCAGGAATCCGGCTGTTCCTGGTGTTTCTCCAGGATGTATTTTGGGAGTTTTGGAGGGGCTGTGGCTCAGGGATCCAGCTCTTCCCCATGTTTCTCCGGGATGTATTTTGGGAATTTTGGAGGGGCTGTGTCTCAGGGATCCGGCTATTCCTGGTGTTTCTCCGGGATGTATTTTGGGAATTTTGGAGGGGCTGTGGCTCAGGGATCCGGCTCTTCCCGCTGTTTTCCAGGCCCCTGATCTCCTACATCCGCAAGTTCTACTACTACGACCCGCAGGAGGAGCAGTACCTGGCCCTCAGGGAGGCCCAGCTCCTCTCCCGACAGAGGCAGGAGCCGGAATCCTCCACGTAGCGGAGCCGGAGCGGCACCCACGGTGCGGGAACGGCTGGGAATGGGTGGGAATGGGGTGGGAATGGGTGGGAATGGGGTGGGATGG